TGATGGTAATGTGTTTTAAGTTATGGTTCTGGCCAGCTGCCCACCCGCTCTCTGGGATCACTGTGATGGTCATGTTAAGTCTGCTGTTGGCCTCATTTCTCTGCTTGCCTGAAAGGTCTGGTTCTGTTCTCAATTAGTGAATCGTCTATTCTATAAGAAAAAAGGATTTCGTTTTGTAACTCAGCAGACTTGCTAATTACTTGTTACGGACTGAATAACCCAATATGAAAACACACACCATATTCCTGTTCAGTATCATTGAAACTTTCAGCAGAAGTCTACGTCAACTCCAGAAAGCTACAAAAACATTAGATTCAGGAACACATAGGATTACAGGATGTAAGATGTCATGGAGGATGTTCATGATGTACATTTAATCTGAAAGGTTGACAATTATCATAATTTTCCACTGCATGTCAATCTGTCTGAACGAATCATCTTGAATGTCAATCAATTTAAAGATGAAACCACTGCTTTGTTGGAATGCTCTAATTTCTTTAAAGGAAAAAAAAGCTTATCTTGTGTACTTAATCTAGTGTCCCAGTTTCTGTCTTCTTTGTTATTTTGACATTTTTCAAATTCTGACAAAGTGATGGGTTGATTTTTGGCAGCTCAAACTAACACCTCAGGCTACAGCAAGAGTTTATGAGTACATCTATGTTAATGACATATCAAAATACAAAGACATAATATTATTAGCTTGACTAAAAATACTCAAAAACCTTTTTTCCTATGCTGTTCACATTTTTCTCTCAGTTATTAATTATTTGAACAGATGAAAAGTTTGACAGGAACAGGATGAAGATAAAGTGAATTGTGCAAACACAGCAGAAAAAGTACTTTTTAAAAACTATCTGGAGAAGCGTGGACAGAACTGTCTTTTCCTCCGTGATCTACACCTGCCTTCTCTTTTGTTCCTTTTTTATTCCTCTGCTAAAGACAACTTGACTGTCTGAGAATCATATCCCAAATCCTGACACATTGTCTACATAAATCCTTCTCCCTGAGGGTTTGTGCCAGCATCTGTTCTTACAAACTTGACTTCTCTTGAGTGTCCCTCTTGGTTCAGACACCATCTGGCAGCAACAGCATGTCCCCGTGGTCTCCTCCAGCCATTAGCTTAGCTTTAGTCTTGCTGCTTGTCTTTTCTAGTGCAGCAATTCGTCCATCAGCAGTTTGTATAAAAACTTTTGCTACAGATGTGATAAGAAAGGACTGAACCCACGTATCTTGTTTGTAGCAGTCAGAAAGCCTGTTGCTGTTCAGATGCATGAGCCTTGTTGCCTGTTTTATGTACATGAAATATATGAACATAGTTGGTCACACATCTTCCGACGCTAACTCGAAAGTTGTGTTGCAATGGGGAGCTGACTGTGTAATCCCTGCCATCTGTTGAGTAGATCAGATCATAATGACGTTTATGTAGGCCACCCTCCGTTCCAAAGGCGCCTCCACACACACACACACACACACACACATGCAGACGTACCAAGAAAAAGACTGATACTGTTTAATTCCACCTAAATCTCTCTCCGTGGACCTCTGGCTTCTCACTTAAGACTTAAACCATCTTTAAGGAAAAGTCGGAGGCTCTGAGGCAATATAAAGCTGCAAATGCTGCAAATTGCCCTCCAAAATAAAACATCTGTTTCATTATTGCTCTCCTCCTAAAGGCGAAAGGTGGGTGATAATGAAACATTTTTACAGATACTGACCTAAAATTCAGTGAGACTCCCTAACGTGTATGATGAGTACTAAAAGATTGTGAAAGATCTTTATTTCAAAATTTGCCAATAACTGTTAGAAGTAAACTCTGTTTTTCTATTTTCAAAATATTTTATAAATCACTGAACGAATTTTAATAACATTTTCTGAAAGTAATACATCTGTGACTAATTAATTTATGAAGTCATTCTCCACATTACCATCACAGCTAATCAAACTTAGCCAACACAAAAATAGCTACAACTCAGTCCATTTTACAAATATTGAGCTGCAATTTAGTGTGGAGTATAGCTGAGAGTTATTTCCAAAACAGCTGTCATTTCTTTACAAAAATTTTTTATTGGTTTAAAACTTTTTTACATTAAACATTTCTTTAATGAATGCTAGGCTTTTCGTATTTTTGCTGTGAAATTACAGCTTTTTTATTTCCTTTTAAACATCTACAAACATTTGATATTTGTTTTTTTTTATCTTCAGCCTGCTGTCCTTTGGCCCAAATGCCAGCTCTTAATCCTACCAAAGCAGCGCAATCAAAAAATCTCTGATGATCACAGCAAACTGTTAGGACATCTAAAGGGAATAAAGGAAGAAAAAAATGAGAAAAGCAGAAGAAGAACCAAGAGGATTAATTCGGAGAAGAGATGGAGAGAAGGAAGAAAATGTGGGAGAGGGAATCATGAAGAAGAAGAAAAGCAGGAGGGCTGAGGAAAGATATTTAAGAGAAGAGGGGAAGTGTGGAGGTTGAACCCCCTTCTCTCCACCCACATCCCCCTCCGTAAAGTCAGCCAATGTGACAGGATGACTTATGTAACACCCCAGAGATGGAAGGAGGAGATGGGGGAACAGGGAGGAGGAGGAGGAAAGAGGGAGCAAGGAGAGCAGCTGCAAAGGAGGAGGAAGAAGTTATTTAGCAGCAAAGAATTAGCTGGGTTATAGAGATAAAGAGGCAAAGTGAAAGACAGATAGAACCTTACAGAGTAAAACAGGAGATGTATGAAGGAACTGGACAGATAAAGAAAATGGGGGGAGATTAAAAAAAAAGCAATTGAAAGATCGAGCGAGGCTGTTAGCATGGCTCTGCTGGCTTTACACTTTCATTTGTTTTGTTGGGGGGGGGGGGGATTAGTAAAAGGATTAGGAGAGAGATTCCCCCGCTCCTCATTCTTTATTTCCCCCTCAGCCTTTCTGTCTTCCTCTGTTGCGTACACACACTCATGCATCACACACCCTTACAGTGTAACGGCATGCATGTGAAGACCGTAAAACCTCAACGTTTGTTTGTGATTTTCTTCTTTGCAATCAGAAAAGTGAGACAGAAAATGTCAAAAACACAAGTAAAATTTAAAGACCTTGCATTCCTTGAATGAATTCATGTGGCCCACTTGTTTTCATGGCAAAATTTTAGCCTAAGATCATATTAGGATAAAAAATAATAATTTAAAGAGTGTATTTCTTTGAAAATATTTTGCATGTTTTTCAATCTCATTCCCCACAAATGGACATGGAGGGATTTTTTTTTTTTTTTTTGCATTATCTCGCAATACTTTGGCTTGATTTGTGTATTTTTTTATTGTATATAGTTATTTTTAATGAAATGAATATTTTTTGAATTGAATTGAAATTGAATTGAAAATACTTTTTGCATTTCCTCGCAAAAGTCGTTTATTGCTGTTGTACCTGCTAGTTTAAGAACAAATTCACATGCTCACCAGTAGGAGCAATATGTAAGGTGAAAGGTAAGGTAAATTTTATTTAAATAGCACTTTTCAGCAGCAAAGTGATACAAAATATTTTATATGATTTAAAAAATATGCAGACAAGTAAAATAAAAAATAAATAAAAAGGACAGACAGTACATCATAACACAAATAGGCAGTATAAATCTAAATAGGTGAAAAGGCAGTATACTCTAAAACATCATAACATGATAGGTGATAAGTAATTTACAGATATTTTAACTATGTAGTCACGCAATATCACCATCAATTTCCCCAACTTGTGGGGACACATCCTGTTTTAGTAACCAAATATTTCAAAATAAAAGTCTCATTCAATGAAAATATTAGAGATAATGCAAAAATTGCATTGGAAACATAAAAAATATTTAAAAAGAAATCCCCCATACCTCTTTTACAGGCTCCGTAACATGTTAAGCTCAAAGTATGTGTCAAGCATGACCCTCATCTACTACCACATCAAAATTAGACAAACACGCACGGACACGCATGCACCTAAAATCATGGCTCCACCTTTGCCTTTAGCAGCAGGTGATCAAAATGTTTTATCACAGCAACGTCCCAAAACATAAATGACATCTTTAATTTTCTACTTATTCATTTTCTGAAAATGCGTACGAGCATTTACTCTATATTTTAGAAACTTTGCAATGAATTTTTTTGTTTGATTGTTTGTTCAGTAACTGACTGAAGCCATATAATTCGGTTTAAACGTCATTTAGAACCACCAGAAAATGTCCCATGTAAATGACTTCAAACAAAAAAGGGGGAGCATTCACACTTTCCTGTTCACATAAATGTGAAGTTTATTGTACTCAAATAATGCTAAATGTTTTGACGTTCAGCCACGCATCTGGTTCACACTCAGTCTCACCCTCTGCTCCTCTGTCCATCTCCATCTCTGCTCTGTTCCTTTCCGCCCCCCTCTTTCAATACTTTCTCTGTTTTGCTGCTGCTCTGAACGGCTTTGCTTTTCTCCTTTTCCTCCCTCTCTCCTTTTAAAACAGCAAAAAGCAATTTCTCTCCCTTTGTCAGGGCGGCTGGCAGTAAGCCCCTAAGTAGGGATTTTCTGGTTTGGCTGGAATGCCATTAGGCGAGCTGGTGGTGACGTGCCGTGACTGACGTGTCGAATCTTTTTGATGTTGTGATGACACAATCCAGCAGAGGCTGAGGTTATGATATTGTTGGCGTCCCCAAAACGAGGGGCTTTAGTGGTCATGTCAGAAGTAAGTCTTTATAAACCCTTTATGGCACAGAAATATTAAGCCTCTTTGGTGATACAGGACAGAGAGAAAACACGATGGAGTGAGCACACACATACGGGAAAGAAGCGACACACTAATACAATGCCACCCACCTGCATGGCTAAACTCAGAGATATGCTGGAGGTGTACAAATACTCTGGGATGTGTAACACCAGCTCAAAAAATATTATTGTCAAAAAAACTATTACTCATTTTATTGTTTAAAATGTAGACATGCACAAGAAGTATGATGTTTTTTCTATACCTTTACCTCTGAATTCTTATTTCCACACAGCACCACCCAGATTCACCCGGACCCCAGAGGACCAGACAGGAGTGCAGGGGGGAGTGGCCTCCTTTGTGTGCCAGGCCACGGGGGATCCACAACCCAAGATTGTTTGGAATAAAAAAGGCAAAAAAGTCAGCAACCAGAGATTTGAGGTACAGTATGACACCCTGATACTAGTGTGCAGAACACAGCTTACCTGCCAAAAGAAAAAATAAAAAGTGACGATGTGTCTGACATCAGAGCTGAAAACTGAAACATATTTGAGGGTTACAATTTTTTCAGTAGACCTTATTCCAAACATAGCTGACCACATTCAGGTTGTTGCTTTTAACATCAGTCATTTTCACTGTCATGATCACTCAGCTGTCAGGGTTACCCATGATCAAAGTTTTATCTGTAAATATTCAAATTCAATTCAATTCAATTCAAAAATACTTTATTGATCCCAGTGGGAAATTAGGTAATTCTAGGCCACGCACAATATTTTGTTGCCCGCATATTCTCATTTCATGCCCACCTTTGCTTTGCTTTGAGCACACCTTGGCAGCTGACCCCACGTCTATGATTTACCTTATCTTCATAAATTTTCTGAACATGTTCAAAATTCGAATGACAAAACTGTAAGGTTCTGCTATAAAACTAAAAATGTCATGCGACTTTTTGGAAACTCCCTCACCAATGCCGTTCACTGACTATTTGCCAGCCGTGAGCTACAACCTGAAACATACGCAGGTGTAGCAATAAAGTCGAGACCAGGTGGGGCTGAATATACACAAAACAGAACATAACTGCTTCACATTTAATAGGAGCTGAACTAAAATGCAGATTGACCCAACAATGTTAATTCAAAAAACAGACGCCAAATTCAAGCTAAATCTACAAACCGTGACCCTGGTAAATCCCTACTTACTGAGTCTGTCAACACATAAAATAACCATCAATAGTGGTTAATATTTGCATCAACTGTTTGTAAATATTTTTCCCCCTGGTTTTACTATTTTTTACAGCAGGTAAAATGTAAATGAGGATTGAAGAGCCGTGTTCAGTTTTAGTTCAGTTATTTCTGTAGCAATTTCAAGCTAAAAGTGTGCCTTCTTCAGTGTGTGAGATGCAATCAGCTGGAACGTTTTTTTATGTCCGATGATGCTCTGGGCTACAGTTTGTAAGATTCTTATATGATCAGCTTTATTAGTTTCCTGTAGGCTCTAACCTTTGATTTATTTCCCCCCACACCACGAGCCCCTCCCTCATGGAGGTGGTGAATCAGCTTCGGTCCTGCTCAGTGGCTTTCACCCTGAGCCCAGGATGCTTTCCCACTTTAATAAGTGGCGTTTCCTTGCAGGTTTAGGTTCATCTTTTTGTCTTCCTGCTCTGTGATTTGACCACTCAAGGAGGTGTTTTATTTTTAATCCAAAAATATATGAGCTCAGGCTACTGTGCGTTCTTCATCTCCGGCTCTGCTGGGCAAGTCTAGTTGTGGGATTCACGGTTATTGGATTTCAGTCACTGGGAAACCTTTCCAGATATTGGAGTCAGGATCAGTTACTTGTGCCTAATAAACCTATGCAATGCACCGTGCAGTATTTTTAGAAACTCCAATGTCATTACATATAAAAGAATAATTGCTTTACATATTTATCACAAAAAGGTTCTTTCAGAGGAGCGCAGGACTCGTGCTACTCAGAAACTGTTTTAATGCGTTCTAAGAACTGCTAAAAGAACCTTAAAAGCTTTTTACTCAGAAAATGGTTTGTCATGTAACTGCAAGCTATTTAGCTAAAGTGAAACATTTATCTGAGTCTGACGTTTTAGCTGTATATTTCAAATGTAGCAGGAAATTTTGAAGCCCAATAAAACAAATTACTAATCTTTTTTTTTAAGATGAGCACAATTTCTACAGTATGATCTGCTTTAACAAACCCTCTCATTGCCAGGTAATCGAGTTTGATGACGGGTCCGGTTCGGTCCTGAGGATCCAGCCTCTCAGGACTCCCAGAGACGAAGCCGTTTATGAATGTCATGCCTCCAACTCGGCAGGAGAGATCACTGCCTCCACCCGCCTCGGTGTCTTACGAGGTCAGCGTGAACACAGCCACACTTCTATAACACCCACATGATCTCCACTGTTTATTCTTGAACTTATCAGATACAAGTCCTGTCTTCATATCTGATACTGTCCTCTTTCTCACCTGTCCAGATCCTATTGTGTCCCATCTGTTTCTTAGTCTTTTCATCAGATTTGCCTTTCCTCTTCTGTTCTCTTCTTTTTCCAGTTCAGCTCATGAAAAACAAGAAGCAACAAAAAAGTTTATTAGATTTCTCATTTTTTGTTGTGCATTTTTTTTATTAAACCTAAAATCCAAGTATTTCCTAATCATTTTGTTTCATTGTGTTTTATGTACCACATCCCTTCCATTGAAGATAAATTCTGTTTATCATGTACATCTCTAAAGGTGTGCCTTGGAAATACAAAAACAGTTTTCATATATAGTCTGCCTTGTTATTACACAGTACTTTCTGAACCACTGAGCCAGACTATCAGGGGCTATTAGCTCCTCTTTTCATGAATCTCAGTGTTTGCTTCAGCAGGAGGAGACATATTTATTTCCATTACCTTCAATCTCACTTGCATTTTTTTATTATTTATTTTTGTTCTTTGTATTTTGTCAGGTAAACACTTTCATGGTCAAACTTCACTGATAAATAATTTTATAAATAAAATGATTTGCAGTAATTGTCTTCACACACGCACAGAAGGATTAAAATAGTGTTGTTTTTCCTGATAATCTCAACAACCCAAAGACATAAACGTGCATAAATGCATATGTAACTGTGAACCTGGATTCATTGCAGGAGATGATTTATTGTTAGCTTGAGTCCATTATTACAGAAAGTGATGTTTGTGTTAGTGGCGTCCATTAGGAGAACGTTAAGTACCGGTAGTTCGAAACTCAAGAGCGTCTTGGAGAGTGAAGTTGCTCAGCTGTGGATAATCACATCACCTGTCTTTGCAGGAAACACTCACAAAGAAAAGGGCATGGAGCCTGTTGTTTTATCACTTTTTTAATTTCATTTGTGTTTCTCTGAGGGCTTCACTTTTTTGTCGTGTTTTTTTTAAGTTTCTCAATCTTAATTTTGTTCTGTCTTTCTCTTTTTTTATGCATATTCCCTTATTTCTCCATCTCTTCACGTGCTCTCGGATCCTCTGCACAGCAGCCCCTAAATTATTCACATCAGACCACTCTTTGCATCTTCTGTTCTATTCCGCTCTGTCCATCTAGAGGTTTTTTCCTGTCTCATGTGGTCGTCTTTATCCGTGTACGGGTGTGCATGTATTTGCCTGTCTCTCTGTAATACACGGGTGCATGGAGGCATAATTAACTTGTGTGTTTTCGCCTGTGTGTGCTCCTCTTCATGTGTCTTTGCATCTATTTTTGATTTTCCTGCCTCTCTTGCCGCACGTTTTAACTCGCCCATGGTTTGCCTCTTTCGTTATCAGGAGCGTAACCACTCGAGCACTAACACAAACACACACGCACAGGCGTGTTCTCGGTCTAAGACAGTCGGTCTTTATGTAGTGATTAGCCACTTTCTGTTCCTCTGAGGAGTCATTGTGTTGTGGATGAATAAGAGGCCACCTGGGAGCAGCTAATAGTCCCTGATAGACTGTCAGTCTAAATGTCAGTTACAAAGTACACACAGTCAGGCACACACGTGTGCACTCGCACAGACTCACACAGGCTCTCAAACACACATGCAGTTGTTTCAGTCATGTGCCCTAAAGTCCCCTGTGGCTCAGTAAAGACACAGCTTCAGTGACTGACTGCCTGACAGGAGGGATCTGGTGTAAAGGTCAGCTGGCTTAATTACTCATGATTAGAACCAGACTAATTGAAATCTTGGCTCTCAGTAAATGGCTGTGATTGGCAATGGCTGAAATAATAATGAAGCTTGGAGCAATTATATGCTTAAATATCTAATGCACCCTTAGGTACTCTATAATTTATAGTTATGTGAAAGCTCACATATACCTAAGTGGATGTTTGTTAGCACTTCAGTCTGAAAAGTGCACTTTTTATAGAGTTTTAACTAAAATATTTTTTTTAAACTTGTCTCAATAAACGGTCCATTTTGACTGCAAAGCTTTTGGTGACCTTGTTACGTACGTACTAATGGACATCTTTGTACATCTTTTATCAATTCAAACACTAGGTGATAATGTTCCGTAGCTTTAATATTCAAGCCAGAATGCTAGTCATGTGTTATTACTCTTTGGACCAATAGATGAATGACACACGTCTTTACATCCATGCCCCAACAGACCAAGGACTAAAACAATTAGATTCCCATCAAAGATATGTTCAACTCAGCTGCCATTTAAAATGATAGAATATGAGTTTACTTCATGGTTATTTTTTCACACCGATTTTCATCCGCAAGTAGTATTGAAGATATACAAAAGTCATCGGATTACAGCTATAATAGTACAATAATATATTAATATGAAATGATCCTTGCCTGGGCAATCCTTGCAGGGTTGAAACATTTTTTTCATGTTCATTTGTAGTTTTTTGATATCTCTGAATCAATATTTGAATGTTGTGGCGGTTCAGCTGCTGCAAAATTATGGTGATCAAACTGCAAAAGCCTTTTTCTAACAAATGTGGCACCATTTAGGGGAAATAAACAAGCTTTCCAACAATATAAGATTTATTGCCTAGAAAGAAACAATCAACAAACACAAATTTCCTAACTTTTTTGTGCTATGTTTGTGCTAAGTGTTTAAAAATGTTTAGAGAAAGCCCAGGAAGCCCCAAAAAGGAGATGTGGGTGTACCACGCTGTTACAATTCAGTAACATTTAGTTAAAAGTGTTTCTTCATAGTGTAACTGAAATCTAAAACTTTTATAATCTGCCATTTTCAAAACTGTAGTCAGTCTGAGCTCTGCAAAATCAGAATAATAGTCTTTATTATTTTTAACATTAAAAAAACTGATGCCTGTTCTGCCTTATACTGGACTGTAAACATCTCAGCTGTCTGGGTGAAATCTGTCCATAATCAAATACTTTTGCACTCGTTTAATCAAAACATTGTGTTTGTGTTTGAAAGTTTTCAGTTCTCAGCATGGTGCATTTCCAATGATTGTTTTTTTTTTTTGTCTTTTGTTTTTGTTTTAGTTATGTTCACACATGTGCATGGTTTCTATCCTGGATGTGCAAATAGCGTTTTTGTGAGCACATCTGTGCATGCATGATGCTACGCTCTCCTACTTCAGGTGGAGAGAGAGAGAGAGAGAGAGAGAGAGAGAGAGAGAGAGAGAGAGAGAGAGAGAGAGAGAGAGAGAGAGAG